AGGCCACATGGTCCTCAAATCTGCTTAGTTATTGTCGGGCATTGACTGGGACGCTGTGAAGTGAAGCGCTGCCTTCAGGTCCTACAGAAGGTTTGTATAGCCTGAGTCTCCGTATGCACCATTTCCTTCTCGTTTTCTAGCACGTCTCTATTGTGGCCATGCAAGAGAGGAAGGAGATCCTTAAAAGACAACCGTCCTGTTATTTTCCATAATGACTTCAGGAAAAAAATGCTCTCTCTGCAGATGGAGATTTTTAGGACCCTCTTTCTGAAGTAACTGACCTTAGTTAGAGACTAGAGACAAATAATTCCATGTGCAAGAAATCATATGCAGGGCACTACCTGCATTACTTCCCAAATCCCAAGAAATATATCATAAGACTTCTCTTGTGTGTTGAAATTATTTAGTTAGGTATATCTAATGTCTACATTGGAACTACAGTCACCCAGTTCCACGTACTCCACTCTACTAAAGGTGGTTAGCCAGCATAATAGCAAAAATCATCTACACAAATCTCTTTGGGAAATGGGAAAAGAGCAAAGGCAGATAGAGCAAAATCAGTTAGATGGGAGAGCTGTGACAGTGATGACATAAAATATAAATACCCCATCAGCCATCACCAGGTTTCCTCACTTATAAAAAGCTTGAAAAAGGGCAACCTTCATGTAATCTTTAAGCTCATCTCATCATATGGTAATATTGTTAATATGGCATCCATCAAACATGCAAATAAACTCATGAAAAAAGGAAAAACATAGCATGTGGCTCAGTAAAACATCACTTTTATCATACTACATATTTCACTGGTGTGATTCTTTATTCTCTATTAAAATTATCTCAAAGGAGTATCAAATTGATCTCAATGAATGCTCATTATATTATTAAACAAACCCAAAAAATCCTTAATTTTGATAGGTGATTTTACCTACCTGATATAATCAAATTAAAAACATCCTGAATTAAGTCTCCTCAGAGAAGGGGATTGTCTTGATTAACAAAAAAAATAAAAATAAATAAAAACAAAATAATAATAATAGAAAAACCAGCCTCCCCCTCTAACCAATTTACTTTTACAGCAGCAGCAGAATTTCAGTAAACCCTATTGTTTTACATCCTTAGCACTGTCATATTGATGCTTTTGCCATTTGTCAGGAAGATCAAAGAAACCTGATGTCTCACAAGAGGTTTGAACTATGGTGGAGAGAACTCTAACTCTTGGCAAGTTTTTGAACACTGTCCAAATCAGATGAACAAAATGTTGCTGTTCTGAAAAGACCTATGTGAAATGGGACTGGCAGACTCAGGAAATTCAGAATAAAGTAGAGAACCTTTTGCCTTGTGTACTACTTTGACTCACGTCCGACTGTGCTGTGAATCCCTCAATTGCTCTGTAGGCTCACAATTGATTTTGTAGACTTACCATTTTTCTTAGCAGCACATACTTACAGCATAGAGATACTACTATCACTTTATGCAAGCAATGTCAGCAGAGACTGGAGTAAGCATGGAAATTGAAAAGTTGTTTCCTTCCTAAAATGGAGTTTAAATGTCATATCACTTTATGCAAGCAATGTCAGCAGAGACTGGAGTAAGCATGGAAATTGAAAAGTTGTTTCCTTCCTAAAATGGAGTTTAAATGTCAGATGCCAGTCAGTATGGGACAGTCTGTGTTATTTTCTATACTCCAGGCAGTGAGGAGGACATTTGTCTCCAGTACTGTAAATCCTGTGGTGGTTTGTTTGTTTGTTTTTCTAAATTGACTGCATACATACCCATAAAATAAAATATTATATTCACTTTTATTTTAGGAAAACCTTGTTAGACTTTACAAAAATATATGCATTGATTCATCAAGCTGTAAGAAATGTTTGAGCAGCTTACACCCAGCTACACTGACAAATTTGGTAATTCTTACATCTAAACAGCACTAAAACAAATTACTTCAATGTCTCATTCCTGAGGCTTCTTGTCTCAAACTTTGTCTATTCTATAAAGTTTTACTCTAAGGTTACCCTGATGTCTCCAGAACTGTTTCAGAGGAAGGCACCTATGCTGGGCCTGCACCAAGCCTGTTGGAGTTTAAGAAGCATTTGGACTGTGCACTTAGTCACATGGTCTGAATTTTTGGGTTGACCTGTGTGGTGCCAGGAGTTGGACTTCATGATCCTTGTGGGTCCCTTTCAACTCGGGATATTCTATGATTCTATGATTCTTTCTCCATTGCACTGGGTAGATAATCCACTGCCTCTGCTGCTGCAGTCTGAATCACTGCCCTGTGGGAATTCCCTGCTCTGTATTTTAAGTCTGCCACTGTGAACTGCAGGACATGCAGCTCTTCTCAGGCAACTGTGGGATTTCAGAACAAATCTGTGTGTCCTGTCTCATAATTTAGTATTTTTCTTAAGGTGACATCAAACTGACAGTGCACCATCTGATAACAATCCATACTATAAACTGCCAGGGAAAAATTACAGCATGTTTCCTTACTTGCTCTCATCTTGCTGTTTACATGCTGCAGAGCTGTTATAGCTTATGCACAATTCTGGAAGGCCTTTTTTGTCATCCAAAGATTCTGAAGCTGTGGCAGACCTTTCCAGATTCCCATCACAGCTTAATCCTCCCACTCAGGGCTCACAGTACAGGCCCCAGATGGTTACTTCACATGCATATTTGCTCAATGAATGAACATGAAAGTGGTCAGCTTCACTTACTTCCTCTCAGATCTTTACAAGTATGCTACAGAATTGGCATTTTACCTGTACTAGAAACAGCTGATCAGTGCAACATGTATGTTTCTAGAGGAAGAATTGCAGCAAGATCAAAAAGCAATATGTAAAGTCATCATAAATGTAGACTGACACATACAGATCTGTAGGGCTAAAATCTCACAGCTACCTAAATTCACATGTGAACACCATGTAGAATGCCTCAGAATACACTGCAAAAAAATCCCCTGATACAATTTACTATATAAGAGTATTGAGCAAAATCCAGGTTTGTATGCAGTGACAAAGTAAACATACGAGGATTCTGCCCAAAAATATCAGGATCAGTTTATTTCCAGAACTTCTGCTAGCATGTTTTTCTTCTGTCAGCCAGGCCTTAATAACTTTTCCATGGGTTTCTTTCATTTTAAATTATAAATACCACATGCAGATTGTTAGTTCATACAGTCAGCATAGTGGCACGTAAGCCACTGGACTTCATGCTGGAAGTACAGTAGCAGGTTAAACGCGTATTGGGAATGGCATGAGTATTGCTGATTCGCTTTCACAGCAAATGTTTTCCATTCCTACTTTCCTCATGATTTGGGGTAAAACAGTGACTTGGCACATGTTTTGAACAATTACCTATGTCTCAGCTGGAGGAGGAATGAGATTGTTCCAGTCCTCTCCACTGCAGATGAAGATTCTATTTAGGATCAACAATAATTTTACAGTAAACTACAAATTAGTATTAAATTTAAAGTATTTATTTACAGTTTGTTGCAACTCCATCGGCAACCAAGGTCCCACAGTGGATGATGTTTGATTCTTTCCATCTGTCCATCACAGAGATAAATAATCAAGCGCAATCACACCATGGAAAGACACCACAAATGCACAGAGATAAACAGTATAGATTCTCAGCAGACACTGCTTAGGCTAACTGTGCACAGGGCATATCTCACTATTCTTATCAAAATTTGCTTGCATATCATCTTAAAGACTGACATGTCCTACAGTCACCAAAGGCCAAAAAAAAAAAAAAAAAAGGGTAAAAAGCCCTACTTCTCGTTGTGTGGGAATAATGTTTAGAGAGTTGTGTATTGAATCCTACCGAACCCTGAAAGCTGAAGTGCCCATCAGAAAAGATGTGCAAGATCCCATATGGACATGCCTCTCCCTGATTTGAGATTTCAAAAATTATAGTGTCTTGGTGTAGCACCTGGCTGATGATTTCAGTATCTGAATGCAAAAGTTTAGTAATCACATTTGACTGGATCAGAGATATAATACTGTATTTTAACTGAATGCTCCTTTACATACCTATATATTTTATACCCCTTTATATATATATATATGTACACATAAACATATGTACTCTTCACCTAATATGTAGCTAATGTATTTTGACTGAAATAAGACAGATATAGAGGAAGAAAATTCCCAAGTTCCATTACATTTCGGAATTTTGGGGGAAAAAAAAATCATTGTATAATGCTAATTCTAAAATATTTATTCCTATCTTGATTTTGCAAACAGGACTGAATCCATTAGTGTTTGGACTGGAAAGAGTATAAACAGTTTCATTAAGGAGACGTGTTAGCTCCAACAATGTTTATTGGGGCAAGACTGCATCCAGGCTGCATATGGTGTACCTTTAAATAGGGCTGTTAAAATACCAAATAAAATGTCAAAGTCCGTCAGGTCTGGAACTTTTATAAATTGTTTAGACTGGGGATAATTTGGGTTTTGTACATCGTTCTTTGCGGATCGTGCAGAAAGGAGATAGGGAAGAAAAGCTGTCCAGGAAGAACAATGAGGGACAGTCAGTGTGGAGCTGCCTGACGGGAAGGCGTATTCTGGATCATTACTCCCTTCATCAACAGCGTCCCTCTTCCCTGACAACCTGTTTGCCCACCAATTGCCTCCCCTCTCTCTGGGTGGTATCATGAGGTCATGCACGTGACTAAATCATATTAAAAAGAAAAAAAAAACCAACACACACTTCAAAAGGCAGTTCCACAGCAAGTTGCCAGCTACATGCACGCAACAAGTAACTTCACCTCAGGCTGTAGCACTCTGAAGAAAACAGCACTACTTCAGAGCATCAATGGCAAACCTATCTCCTGTGAGGCTCAGTGGCCACCTCGAAGAGCCACTGGGGCTGCCACACCTTGGTGGCCATCCTCCCTCTTCCCCTCCCGCCACCCAGCAGTGCGGAGCGGGCGAACAAGGCCTGCCTTCAGCCCCCCCGGACCTCCCTGCCTCCCACCCACCGCGTGGCCCGGACCTCACCTTCAGCTCCCGGGAGGCCACGCGGGCCGCCAGCTCGATGACACAGCCCACCGCCATGCGTGCCGCCCCAGCCGAGTGCAGCTCGTTCCAAACGGTGTCACTGTCCACCTGAGCAAACAGCCGGCCCCAAGAGAAGGGCAAGGGAGAGAGGGAGAGGGAAAGGGAGAGGGAGAGCATGAGAGAAAACAAACCCGTGAGGGAGGGCTGGCAGCGTGACAGCCCGTGTACAATAACATCAGTCTTCCGTCCGGGCCAGCTGAAAGGCCTTCTGGACATGGCTTTACTTATGCTTTTTCTCTGCACGGGCTTCTCCAATGGAAACACATTCCTGTCATGCCTCGCTGCCATTCCCTGTTTAGATTTCTCATTACAAACAGCATTACATCGGCCAGGCTGGGCCTGCTCACCGGCCAGTGGACGCCCTGCACCGGGTCCTTACATTGGTGGGGTTGGGGGGCTGCCAGTGAGGGACATGAGGTCCCACAGGAGAAGCCACTGCTGTCCCAAAAAAGCATGCCAACAGAAACTGACCAGCAGCCCAGATCATGATGTGTTTTAAAATTAGCAGTAAAAGCTTTTCTTTCTTACCCAGGCAGGCATCATTTTTAAACGATTGAAATCACAATGATTCACTGTTTAGCGTAATTTCACTACTTACCATTGCCATAGACAAAAAAATAAAATGAAATAAATTGAAGTACCACCCTTGCTGTATCTCCAGTTTTGATGGGCTGCTAAGTTTTGACTGAAAGGCTTTAGATCACTCTTTATAACAACTTAAACATTATATGAAAATATAAAGATAAAATAAAGATATTTTAATTGTAAAATATAAATAAAATATTATAAAGACAGCTAAGCAGTACTGTTCTACAGCTTCAATCAGTAACCCAACATTTTACTTTTGAAATATATTTTTAGTAACTATTTATTTGCAGAAACAAACAACGTAGTATAGATGAAATGTTGCATATCCCTTTTATGCTACTATGCCAAGCAGACATGATGGTGTGAAACAGTCTGAAAAAAACATCTAGAGAGACAGCCAGACTTCCTTGATGCTCCATGGGAAGTGCATTTAGTAGTATCATACTGCACAAATTTATCATGAAAAGAGAAACGTTTAGGGATAGACAAAATACTGTGGCAGATGCTATTTGGATAACTTCCAAGTACACTGAGACATGTTATAAGTTTGAACCAGGAGCTTCTGTTCCTAATTTCTTAAAGAAAGAAAAAGAAAGAAAGAAAAGAAAAAGAAAGAAAGAAAGAAAGAAAGAAAGAAAGAAAGAAAGAAAGAAAGAAAGAAAGAAAGAAAGAAAGAAAGAAAGAAAGAAAGAAAGAAAGAAAGAAAGAAAGAAAGAAAGAAAGAAAGAAAAGAATAATTGAAAATGGATGCAAATGCTGCTCAACTGTGGAAGTTCTGAGGAATTCTCTGATTAGTCAGTTGAAACAGAAAGAAGCTTGATCTTCTCTCTACACCTGTCAAATGTCTTCACCATTACTGTTACAATAATATTATATTTCAAACTACTAAAATGATCATGTTTTTCAGTTTGCTGAACCTGAATTTTCTATCATTTTGATCAGTTTTGTGTTCATGCAGCAGAACTAATGAAAATAATTCCTATTCACAATAGGCCTGAATAAAAAGCCTAGACTGTTCTTGCAAAGTTCAGAATAACAATAATAACAACACATTGTGTTTTCGTCTGAGAATCTCAAAAAGTTGTCTAAACACAATTTAGCATCATCAGCTTGATACAGGATGATTTATTAAATTTGTTTTGCAGATTGGTAGCCTGAGACACAAATCAGTAGGTAGCTCAGGAAATTACAGCAAGAAACCAGAAAGAAACCAAGTAGTAAAAATATCATGATGTATTTAACATTAGGCAGAACTTCAGGTTCTCTCTCTGCTGCTTTAAAGCAACTGTGAATCAATTTTATTTTTAAAACAAATAAGGAAATAAATAAGTAGAGGTCATTGGTTAAATCAATTTAATCAAACCATAATAAAGTTTGAAAAATACAGTGCAGTACTTTAAATAAAGAAGTATCAACAAGAGGGCTGGGAGGGAGTACTTTCTTGCCATTTTTATGGCTAGCAAATTAAGGATAACATGAAGGAGTGGCTGATGAAAATGATTCAGTGGCAGCTGCTCGGTACACCAGGGCACAAGCAGGAGTCTGCATCCTCAAAGGGACTATGATTCATTTCCAGGAAGGCCGATTAAGTTAAAATTGTAACCACAGCTTGAGAGTACCCACCCTTCAAGACAGTTGTCTGCTCTGACACATGAGACGGCAGTTTCTCCAACTGCTGAACACCGAGTATTGGCCAGGATACGGCATTTATCATTTTCCGCTTTCAGCTAAGTGTGAGGAGACTGAACTGGGACAATGAGACCAAATATCTTCTGCTACAATATTCCCTTCATTACAGAATTGTACCTGGACTGGATGTAAAAGGGCAATCAGGAGACAAAATAGCATTTCTCAAGGGATTTTTAGAAATGACCACCTAAAAGTACACAGGAAATTCAGGATATTTTAGCTGATCTCTTGGGGAATATTGTAGTTGATCTTCTGGGCATAGTACATACAACAAACTGCAAATTCTTAAAGCCAGAGTTAGCCAACTGAAGCTGCATATCTTAGTACAGAGTTATTATAAGAAAACTAACATACTGATATGAATATAATTACCCTGAAAAGGTAAAGTATTATAAATTTGGATGTTAAAATCTGTTCCATAGTCATGCAAAATTCAGACTGAATTTTTGAGGAATATCTCTTGAAGAACAACCTAGAAAACTTTCATCCTACAGCCAAAACTTTAGCTGTCACAACTAGAAAATATCCATATGCCATTCCATTTTATCTCTCTATTAATGCAATATATTACCTTAAATATTAAAGGCGCTTAAACAGAGATTTTTATTTTTGTGTGTGTGTGTTATTCGATTTTTTTGTTTGCAACTTGCTGTTGTAATACAGTGATATAAGTGGCAAATCTGTTAAAATTACAACTACTATCTGGCCTAGTTGTCATGCTGTATATGAAATACAACTATGTAAAATCCTACTGGATATGCTTTTTATTCCTGTGAGATGAAATGATTGGATTTTATATGAGTAAAGAGTATAGGATTATGATTTCTGGTTCTCTTTCAGGTATAGATCGAATTTATCTGACAGTCATCTAGGTGCTAAGTATGCATAACCTTGTGACAAATGTAATAGCTTCTAAATCACAGTCTATGATAAAGTCAGATGGAATTTAATAAACTTTTTTTACTTTTTATTTTTCTTTTATTTTTGTTCTGTAAGTGCTTTGGAGTAGCCTAAGAATTTAATAAAAACTCCCTTGATTTTGGATTTTTTTTAGAAGATGTTAAAAAATTACAAAAAATACAGATTTGTAGTTTGGTTCTAACAGAGAAATTCTGCTTAGTTACATGCATTATTTTAATTCAAGAATCATTTTAAAAATTGTTAGAGTAGGAAAGTATTTGGAATATCTAACCAAAATGAAAAAGAATGCTTTTTCAAAGCCTCAAAATGTCAGAGGTAAACTATGAGCATACCACACATTTCGTTATCAAAAAGCCTATCACTACTGCAGCTCTTCAAAGAAGGATTGTGCATGATAACAGCTAGAGCCAGAAAACACAAGCCCTATCTGAATACTAAACTTTTAAACACACATATGGATTTACTTCAGTCCGAGTTTCCTGAATGAGCAGTGTAGGCTGTAGACTTTTTCAAGCACATCTAGTATAGCTCAATCATTGGCATGTGTAGCAAAGCTAATACTCTGTAAAGCTACAGATGATAGAAATTAAGCTACCTGTCCCTGAAGTGGATGTGGAGGCATTAAAGAGGAAAGGAATGACTTAAGTGAAAAGAAATGTAGGTAACTTTTCCTGAGTGAATGCTACTAATGTTTCAAGTGCTGCATGCAGAAATACCCTGCTTTACACAAAAGAGAGAAAGAGAGAAAGAGAGAGAGAAAGAGAAGAAAAAGAGAAAGAGAGAGAGAGAGAGAGAGAGAGAGAAAGAAAGAAAGACAGAAAGAAAGAAAGAAAGAAAGAAAGAAAGAAAGAAAGAAGAAAGAAAGAAAGAAAGAAAGAAAGAAAGAAAGAAAGAAAGAAAGAAAGAAAGAAAGAAAGAAAGAAAGAAAGAAAGAAAGAAAGAAAGAAAGAAAGAAAGAAAGAAAGAAAGAGAAAATGAAAGAATATGAATAATATGAATGTTTCCTGCAAGAAGTGCCAATGTGATAACTTGAATTTCACAATGAAGACTTTAAGCATACTGAAAACAAGCTAAGAAACAGCAGAGACGTAGCAGATAGAAACCTTGTACTGTACCACTTTCAGGGCTAGAATATTTCATGTTAAGATAGACTGACTATAAATTTGAAAGTTACCAACTCCTTATGCCTTCATCAGGTAGTGGTATGTGTGTGTGTGAAGATGGAGAGGAAAGACATGGGAAGGCTTCTGAGAGGGAGACTGTTTACATAAGGTCCTTTCTGAAATCCCCGTATTTGCTAAAACTGGAAAAGCTACATGTCCTGCTACCTATAATATCTAATCTAGTAATATCTATCTAGAACCTCAGAGAGGCAAAAAGTGGCATAATAATTCATCAGCATTCTTATAATATATTTATAACTGTCTTTTTTTTTTTTTTTAACTTGTCCTTTCCCCTGCACTTCTCATCCTCAGTTGTCCTTCCTCCAGAAGTGTCACAGGATCTGCCTAATGGACACTGGATCACAGTTCTGCTGACCAGATATATTGCTGGCAGTCTGACAAACCCTACTACTTTTCACACCCTGTGTGGTTTATTCATTTGTATGAGTTATTTCCCTTCCTTGAATAATTAACTGTGAGTTCTGAAGTTGTCTTAAATACACATTCACTGATAACTAGGTGGCAATATAAAAGAGAGCCAAAGCTATTGCTCTACGATACATTCTGACAAGGCATCCTAGAGTTTCATTTCTCTCTCTGTCACACACACATGTACACACACACACACTTTGTTATTCAACATAAATGGAGCTTCCACAATGGAATTCTGATTTCATTCCTAAAAGG